ACACACACACACACACATACAGTCATGCAATTCCGTCTTTGGAACAAGTTATAATTATACCAATAAGAAAAACTTGTCAGGTCTTATTTTGATACGGTTTGAAATTAGTTTTAGATAACATAGTATATATATCATCTTTGATGTGGTAAAATAATCAACATAAGCTTAATTAAGTTATATTATGCCGTTCTGCAACAATGGAATTTCATATGGAAACTGCAAGGTAAGCAGAGCAGAGTGAAGGGGGGGGGATGGGAGTTGGAGTCTGCCATCAATCCAGCAAATACCACATGTGGAAGGTCCCTATTTGGTCCCCAGGCCAATTGGCAGTCTTCAGGCTGTTTTGGAAGAATAGGAAGGTGCTGAGTATGGGATTCTGGAAGTTGGAAGTCCACAAGTTCTAAAGGGGCCATAGTTCCCCACCTCTGCCTCATAGGGTAAGATATTCCAAAGGGCGGGTGCTGCAGCCAACAAGGCACCGCTTCTGGATCCTGATAGTCAAGAGTTCTTTGACTGATGGGATCCAAAGTAGGACCTTTCTGTTGGCACAAGGCCTACCTTGTCGTAGCAGGATTTGGTTCATCATGTAACCTAGACGTTTGCCATTAAGAACTTAAAAGGTCATAACAAAAGAAATGTAATCAGAAGCAGACCAATAGTGAAGTTCATGGAGCAGAAGTGTAATGTGGACCAAAGACTGCTCTCGCTGCCCCATTTTGCATCAGCTGAAGCTTCTGAATAGATTTCAAGGGTAGCCCCATGTAAAGCACATTGCAATAGTCTAGATGAGAGATGACCAGGCCTTGAGTAACTGAGCATAGGGAGTCATGATCCAGGAAAGAAAACATCTCTTTACCAATGCCAAAATATTATTATTAACACCAACTGGTTTTTGAGAATGGCTAGAGTTAATTTAATTGTTTTCTACTCAAAATGCAGTACAACAGTTCATGCTGTTTATTATAAAATCTTTGCAATCATTTAACAAGATTAATATATCCACCTTCTTTGATTCTGTAAGTATTAGCTCCTCAACTTCTTTTGTGAGCACCTCTTCAGGCAGTGCTTTGAGTTTTGTGGAGAGGAATTTAATGGCTCTTTCTCGCACAATATCCTCTCCCTGAAGAATCTGACTGAACAAACCACCGAGTGTTCCTAAAACAATGATAAGACATTAATTTGTTTGTTTATAACTGAAAGGAACTGATCTTTTCGTTAAAACATTTAAAGCTACATCCAACAATATCAAAGGGCACTTGCTTATGTAAGGAATTCTCTCCTTGCAAGTTTCCCCCTTTTTAACTACTTTCCCGGCCCCGTCGCTTTTATTCTAAATCTGCTCAGCAGATTCTGCAAAGGGGAATAAGGGAGAAATAGAATAATTTTGTTGGCTTTTCTTGTAAACACCCGAGTCACCTTTGGTTGAAGTGGATCACCATACAAAAATTTTAAATAAATAAATATTGCTGAGACATACCAATTATAAGTTTATAAGTTTAATAACATTTATATGCCGCCCAATCCCGTAGGACTCCGGGCGGCTAACAATACNAAAGTGTGAACACACAGAGGTTGTATAAATAGTTCTATATTCATTGCAATTAGTAGGTCTAAGGAGAGGAAATAGTTGCCGCCCCCTCCCCTCCCACTTTTCCTATTGTCATTAGCTTCTTGATCGTTTTGGTAACCACGCCAGGATGCTTGCATTAGGAGCTACAGAAGGCATGTAAGAAACATTGGCACAAACAGAAACACTGATTGGCCTGGAATTTTGTGCAACAAACTTGTTTGGATCAGACCCTTTGTATTGCTCTTGCTGTCAGAAAAGAGATCAATCTTACCAACAAAGGAGAATGTAGCTTGGGGTTGAAATGACAGGTGAAATCAACTTACCTTGGCTACCAGTTCGCAAATGTGAGAGCATGTGTAAAGTGTCAAAAACAGCACGTGATGACTTCTGGTTGGATGGGTGGAGCCTCCCACCGCCACCGCTACCGGTTTGCCCGAACCAGGTAGAACCGGCTGATTGCGCCACTGGTTGAAATGAGGGGTCCTTGATTCTCTCTAAACTTGGTTGTTTTCTTTCAGAGGTTTCTTTACCCAGTTAGCTCTCTCTGTCACCTTGGAGTCACTTTCAGCTCTATTTCAGATGTATTCTAATCTCTGAAGCAGATTTAAGGACACATTGATTAAAGGGGCAGTTGGCAAAAATGGTCTCATTCCTTTATTCAAACAGAACAAAAGTATTGCCTGACCCAAGTATCCTGCTAATGAACTATTTTGTCTTTTAAAAAGAGCATAATGAGGAAAATTGCTTAGACTCCACATGGTGGAGACTTCATCTGAAATATTACTTCATATTTGAAATGATTGGATTATTGATCAATATTTTTCATTCAAAGCAAACCAATATTTTATACATAATGGCAAAAGTTACTCTAGTATTTCATGTTTTTCCACATTCATCAGGTTACCTGAGCTATTGCTGTTGGTGGACAATGCAATGGTGAAACAACACTGACATGGATGGTAGTGAGAAGAAAGTGNAAAGTTGCAATATGTCATGTGAGGACAATGTTTCATAGCAAGTTTGACACTCCTGGTCTAGAGGGAATAAGAGGAATCAACCTCAATAGTTTGCCTTCTTGTGGAATAAATGGTATTTTATTACTTCAACGTTCCAAACATTTAGAAGCTCTGCTTAAACTCTGCTAGTGGAAATCACCAGATTGCAGCAAAGAGATAATGTTTTTATCTAGTAATCACCTAGATTGCTCCAGGCTGGATCTGGCAGCTCTGACCCCAAAGGCTTTGAGAAACAAAATAAGGCATCTGGGTAATTCAGAGCATGAGGCAGTTATATCCCTGGTTATGACATAAGCTGACTTTAAGATTTTCTTATCAATAAACAAAACATTTACCAGCCACATTTAATTTCCACAAGATGGCAGTAGGAATCCATGACAGCCTGCAATTTATATCATATGAAAAGAAAGGCACTAATAGGAGCAAAACATTTCAATTCCATGGCTGGTGAAAGTGCTTATAATACTGGATTCCCAGGGTATTTTTGAACTGTTTGGCTTGAACCATTCATAATGAAATTTCAAAGTTGTACAGATACATATGCTGCATCTGTTTCTCTCTAATCAGAGGAAAGTCCTTTATTGAACCATCTTACTTCTTATGCGGGGTTTTATCTAAATTAGTGACTTAAATAGATCTCTCAGGCACTTCTCTAGTAATTTCTTTTTGCATGTTATAAAAAAATTACACTCTATTGTTGCCTATTATAAACGACTGCCTTGCTTCCTTTTACTTTTCTCTGCTTCATAAAGGACCTGGGCATTTCATTCACAACTGGAGATGAGCCTGAATTATGTGGCTAAAATGAAAGAGGAAAAGGGCCGCCATGACGGATTCTTTGTGCCCGAAATCCGTGATCATGTAATTGATTCTACCCCCATTAAGTCTGATGATTTCTTCCAGCGCATTAGTTAAGAGCTCTGCCATCTCTTCACTGCTGATCCGCAGGATCTTCTAGCATCAGCTAGCCATTGTTGAGGCAATATAAAGCCTGCCCTCATTTTTCAGCATAATGGTTGGAANGAATAACTTTGAAGAGCCGGTGAACGAATGATTATTAAAGTGAGGATTACCTGCATTCACTCCAACCATGCTAGTTAGGTTTTTTTTAAGACTTGGCATGAAAGACACAACATTCCTTAACACGAATACTTACAGAAAACAGTGGAACTGCTTGGCGAGTGCACTGTAAGAGTCTGTCCACACAATCAGGGTCCGATGGATTGAAGGTTTGTTCAAGGTCAGCCTGTTCAGCCACTAGTTCAACTAATTGTTGCCTCCCACTTACTGTCTGAAGGTTTTTTAAGCCAGATAGTATCTTCATGAATAAGACAAACTCTTCCCCTGTCACGTCCTCGAGCACCTGAAGAAATGCAAGAAAACAGGAAATAAAGGATAGCACTTGAAAGGGAAACATTTGCATATTCCTTTTCTTTACCCAATAAGTGATCCTGTAATTACTTGCAATGTACACAGTATTTAAATAGCTGTTCATTTAGCCTAATAGTACTCTTACATAATGTTAATTTCTTCCAAGTCCATTCAATAACTAAGCAAAGATTTGAATTTTAATTATATTCTTGTTATATCATACTAAATGACTTATTACAGTAGTTACAGGTAATAGCAGTATCATTAGAACATGAGAAAGCAATTTGCAAAAGACACTGCGAACAAGCAAAGTTCTTACCTTTAGGCAGGTAATTCTATTGTTGTACTGTTTAACAGTAGTATTAAATTATGGTAATAGTATTTTTATTAGGATTGACTAAAACAACTTTGTCATCCAATGAAAAGCTAATGATCAAGAGAATCAACTAGACTCAAAATTGCATGGAATCAAACTGAGAAAAATGTGTTAATATTACAAAGAACTGTTAATCTCACATGAATTATTGGGTACAGGATCCTATGAGATCTTAAGCCTCTCACAAAAGTAACAGACAAATTCAAAGAATTCTTTTTCAAAATAGATGTTAAGCAAAACAGAAAAAAAATATTGACACAATGTCTCAATGTGAAATCTGCAATATTGTTAAGATGGGAACTAATGCTATACAACTATACCAACTAGAATGTGCCAATGTTTTTCAATTCTAAATTTTAAGATCTTGTAATAGGTCATTTTCATCTTATTGAAAGTGTTCTGACCTCAGAATGGTCTTGTTTTGACTCTGAATGCTCTTGCTACAGTAAAAACAAGGTCTGGGCTGGGCTAATGAAATTGAAATATTTTGCACATCATCAGAAACAATGGGTATTTAATACATACANCTTTGGAATAATGATCAGAAATGTAAGTTTAATTTTGAACATTTACAATATCTCTAAGATTATGAATACACTTACCAGTAATTTATCAAAAAGTTTCTTTAGATTTGATTCCAATTTTTCCATGTCCCCACAAAAGGAACTCATCTCAGCAAGTAATTTTAGTACCTGAAAAAGATAAATTCTATTTTTAGAAAATGAAGTAAAAATGAAGATTTATAACTTTGTACGATGACAATGTTAAAGAGAAGTAGACCTGAAAAACAAATCTTGTTCACTTGATTATGACATAAATAAGTGAAACTGATAAAACACTGATTTGTAAAATAAAAAAAAGCCTGCATACTGAATGCAGTATACCCTAGATTATTCTAGACTGAAAAACTTAGAAAGAAGTAACTTGCTTTTTATTTTTGCACTGTAATGTACAGAATGAAATAGAATTTTATAATTATCGGAAAAATTTTGAAAATAAAACTTTAAAGGCATTTGTTACTATTTATTTCATATATACATTGAATAACTGTAATTCTAGTCATGTCAGATATATTCAGATTAGCTTACCTCTAATTGGATATCAAGGCCTTCAACTGGAGTGGTCAGAGAACTCAAATTTGGAAGCACATGCTCACAGAGGTAAGTCACAAATCTTGTAGAGTGAACATTTTTCTGTGGCAAATCAGAACAGCAATTATTACTGCAAGATAATTAGCACTGGGAAAAATGTATCAATATGGTTGTTACAATTCTCTATTACCAGGTAAGCCTGGCCTTATTTTTTCAGATAATGAATTAACTTCAACATTTGGGAAATTCATTTTCACAAAGTGCTGTTTATGCACAGTTGTAACACTATTGAACTTAACCATCCCTCTAGGCAAAAATTACCCACAAGTAAACTACTTATTCATACTCAAGCAAATTAGTATTTTGGAGGGGGCAAAGTGCTGACTGACGTTTAATTCATTCTCATCTGTAAAACTAAATAACATCTATAACAAAGTTCAAACTTTGATAAAGTAAAAAAAAAAAATAGCGGTGTAAGGAAAAAAAGGACATTTTGAAGTTGAAAGCTGAACCTTAAAGAATGTATCAATTCTCTTTTACCTGTTGTATGCTACATGCATAAAACCATAAGGAATTTTATTGAAACTATTTTTAATGAAAATATTGAAGAATAAATCATTTTAGTTCAGGCACAATTAATAAAATGCATCTTAAATACTGTACGTAAGAGGAAGCAATATGGGTAAGTACATTCCAAAAGTGAGTAACATACAAATATTTAGTATTAAAAGACTTTTCAGAAACACTATCAATATGACTCTCCCTCTGGAAAATATTTATAAGAATAGATATATTACAGTATTACACATTTAGCTTTTTCGATGGGAGTGCATTTATCGGTAATCCTCGCATCCTGTGGGGATATATATGAGCCGGATTACAAATTCTGATGGCCATTCTCTTCCATGCGCAAAACTGAATTTTGGGCACCTGCTAACCAGGTCACATTTACCTGCAGTGTCCGATTTTAACATTATTAATCTGGGAGAATTGCTACTATGTTATAGAATTACTGTTCTGTAGCCACAAGAGTAGAAAGTAATTACTGTCTTGGACATCCCAGAGGTTGTTATTTGTTTTTTTAATCTTAATGTACTTTGAATCTTTTATTCTTGTTTACAGATAATATTTTTCACTTTTCACTTGGTATTTTTTCACTTAGTAAAGAAGGTCTACTACTTTGTGACCCATGTATCCTTTTACATCTTTCAGTGACAAATCCTTATTTAATGCACTGTGATTGAATGTTTGTTTTTCTACTGTCAGCCCCTTTGGATTAGTGGTGGGGAGTAAGAGTTCAAAATCAAGATAAAAATGATTTTCAAAGAAATGTATACATAGTTGTGGCCTGCCTCATAGAATGCAGGTAGTCCCCACTTAACAACATTTTTTATTTCTCTAAGATATGTGGTCACAAAGCATGACATGATGTGGCCACACCTAATTAAGAGTTATTGTTGCTGCCGTTAAACGTAGTTATTATGCACATTACATGATTGACATTTGTGACCTCCTGCTGCCTTTCCCATTGACTATGCTTATTGGAAGCTGGCAATGAAGGTTCCAAATGCCATCAAGTGACTTTGGAAGGCTGATTGTTGTAATTGCAAGCCAGTTGCTAAGGACGCAAATGGTGACCACTTCCCAGTGTGGCAGTCACAGTGTTGAGGAATGGTCATGAATAACTTTGAAGAGCCGGTGAACGAATGATTATTAAAGTGAGGATTACCTGCATTCAC